ACACACACACACACACACACACACACACACACACACACACACACACACACACACACACACACACACACACACACACAAACACACAAACGGCGCGAAAACAATACGTTCCGCTACACTACGTGCGGAGGATATAAACCATTACTGCGAAGCGTTTGCCTACACTTTTCCAAGAATCATTACTACAGTCAAACCCCGTGAGTAGAAAACTGACGGGCCAAAGAAAAATAATTGTATTAAGCGGGTTTCGTATTAACCACTTCAACAAGTTAATTCGGGGCTAATATAAAAGAAAAATTATGGATTACAAGGTGTGTACAAGGTATTTTATATAGGTTTATCTTTACTATAAATTGGGGAATTTCTGTCTGTGTGTGTGTGTGTCCGGCTATACGTTTTAAAATACCTTGCAAACGCTACTAAAGTTCTTAATTATACATATAAACCTATACAGTAATTGTATCTATTTGTGAACAATTTAAAAGATAAAAAACATTAAAAATAAAAAATAAAAATAAAAAAGTAAGAAATTACAAATAATACATACTAAAGGGGAAATGGGAAAATATGTTCCCCAGCTGGGATTCGAACCCGGAATCCCGGTGTAGGAGACGGATGTTCTATCGATTATACCAGTGCGACGTTAAGTGTATACACAATGGATTCACACGTACGTGATGTTTTAATCTGCACGCACCGCCATCTATTGATGAATATAATTTTTATGAATTTTTAACTTTTTAACTTGTTAAAATTTTTGTTTCAGCCAGAACCACCTCCCAGACGTGCTGATTCTGAAAATATCGTTAGTTTTCCTCTAGGCTGCGGAGTTCTCTAGTTATGCGAGTACGAACTAATTCGGCTGAACAACTTTATATATACTCGCGGAATGGCCGCCTCCGGCGGCCATATTCGCTCGTTACGCTGATGAGACTACGATGATTTCTCTAAATCCCGGCCCGATTCATAGTAATCTTTTAGTAAAATATTGACTTGATACGAAGACAATAATACAAGGATCCTGTTACTAACATAAAATTTTCTGTCCCGGTATTTTTATTTCTATAAAAAACACTTTGTATACACCTTCTATCCATTGTTTTTCTCTTCAAATTCAGGCTAATATATATATATATACGGAGATAATATCCGTAAATAATATACGGAAACCGCTTCATACGATTATTTTTCTTTGGCCCGTCAGTTTCGTGCAAACGGGGTGCGACTGTAGTAATGAATAGTAGTAATTGAATGAAGAGTTTAAGCTTTTGATTTCTCATTGTTTTTTACTGTTTGGGATGGGATGGGATGGGATGGGATGGGATGGCATGGGATGGGATGGCATGGCATGAGATTGGATGGGATGGAATGGGATGGGATGGGATGGCATGGGATGGGATGCGGTGCGATGGGATGGCATGGCATGGCATGGGATGGCATGGCATATCATGGCATGGGATGTCATGGGATGGCATGGGATGGGATGCGGTGCAATGGGATGGGATGGGATGGCATGGCATGGCATGGAATAGAATGGATGGATGGATTCATGAATGGATGCATGGATAGATAGATAGTTAGATTTTTTCCAACCAAGCGGTCACCAACTGAGTAACACCACTGATTTCCCCGGGCAACGCCGGGTATTCCGCTAGTTCGTTTATAAAAGTGTTATGCGTAGGAGTCCACTGATGTGAGTCAATAATTACACCAATATGAAGATTGTATTGTGATTGTACACAAATTATCTACAAACATACTGATGGCACGCTTTAACTATATATTGGCGTCTTTTTTTATGTCATCCTAGCATAAGGACGGAACCATATATTTCCTCTGAAACAACAATTCAGGAACACAAATAGCTAACACTAACCAAGCGGCTATTGTCAGAAACCTCGTAAGTAGTTTCGACGTGTCATCCTGCAATGGGGGGAATGTAGGAACAGTAATAGAAGTTCACTCAGTAATATAAGGTCTGGCTTAATTTGTGATTACGTGAATTGTTTAAAACTTCCAATATTTCTCGTAATATATTAAATATTTTTGTTTAGCTTTTGAAATGTGGAGATCGGTCGTTTAATTTGTTCAAATAGTCGTGATTATTGTTACTATAATGTATAGATTATGGACATAAATTAAACCCAATGTTAATGTTATACCTTGACGCCATTCCAAAATACCCCACGTCCAGTGAAATGATATTTGAATATGCGATGTGAGATATAAATCCGTGAATCCCGTGTCTCACACCGACATGATTTGAAGTAATTAAAGTCTTGAATTCAGTATGTAGGTGGGGGCCAGGGCACCTTGATTATTTATTCAAGTGTGCGACAAGTGTGTTTTTTCTATTTTCATTTTTCCGAGAACTAGTCTGACATAAGACGTTTTGCCTAGAATATAGGACATTGCATTACCCTAGCTGTAGCAATTCGAAAGCGGTAATTGGACCTAGGCTATGTGACAGCTTTCTATTGTTTTATTTGTACAATAACCCACAAATAAAATAAAATGTCATGCAACGGTTGTTGTTGTTTTCTGCCTTCTGGAAGTTGATCTAGTAAAGGTGTGTGCGCAAATTATATAGATAAATTCACAAAATTATACACTGAAAATCCATACTCCGTCCAATCTACACGAAAGAGGCGCTCCGACGTCGGTCGCCGTCGACTGCCAAGATCATAATTCATGAGCGCACGCATAAATTCCGCAGACTGAGGATATTATCACAAGCCATGACTAAGCCGATTATTCTGCGATGCTCAAGGCTAGACGTACCCGGCTCGTAATAATCACCGAATAATCTACATGTGACCAATAAACGTATACAGAGATTTAATTGATTCGATTTCATGAATTATCTTGTTTGTGTTGTTTCTCGTGAATAATACCATTATTCCATACATTAGACTTGGTCGTATAAAATGTATACTTTTGCATAAAACAGTGTTATTATCCATTATTCATCTCAGGTACATTTAAAACAAATAAAATGTATTACTTAGTATAATTAATTATACAGTACAATTAATTAATCATATAATAGAAAACTGTTAATACGACAACGTGTATAGCTGTGTCCGTGTAGTTATTACTGCATGTGCAAACGTTTTTACACCTGCGTATACATTAAACACATCTGACATCATTAGATATTTAGATAGAGATCTGGAGATCTGTTTAAGATGACATTATATAGCACTTTCTTTGTAGCGCGACAAATGTTTCCCGTGATAAATTTCCCGTTATCTTTAATACATGTTTTAGCAAAGCTGGGAATCGTGGCGCGATGCTGCGAGCAAAGTGAAGCATGTCGATGAGATTTTACCATGCACAGGGGCCGTCGGCTCGCCCGCGACTAGTTTGAACGTATGAGAACGGCCAAAGAAAATTCTTTTGGCAGTCAACGGTGACCGACGCACGAGCGCTATCTGCACGTACATTAATATCGGCATTGAGGGGAACCAAGGGCATGATGCTGCGAGCAAAGTGAATATTATATATCGGATTTTACTAAGCACACGCGTTGTCAGCCTGCCCGGCTCCAGTTTGAACGTAAAAAAACGGCCGAAGAAAGTTATATTGGCAGTCAACGCGACCGACGTCGGAGCGCCTCTTTCGTGTAGATTAGCATAGCTGGGAATCGTGGCGCGATGCTGCGAGCAGAGTGAAGCATGTAGATGAGATTTTACCATGCACACATGCCGTCGGCCCGCCCGCGAGACGAGTTTGAACGTATATGAGAACGGCCGAAGAAAATTCTCTTAGCAATCAACGGTGACCGACGTACGAGCGCCATCTGCACGTACATTAATATTGGTATAGCGGGGTACCCAGGGCGTAATGCTGCGAGCAAAGTGAATATTATAGATCGGATTTTACCAAGCACACGTGCTGTCAGCATGCCCGGCTCCGGTTTGAACGTATAAGAACGGCAGAAGAAAATTATCTTGGCAGTCAACGGCGACCGACGTCGGAGCGCCTTTTTCGTGTACATTAGCATAGCTGGAAATCGTGGCGCGATGCTGCGAGCAAAGTGAAAAGATCTAGGCGTGGTAAACGTTAAAAAATATAAGGCAAGCTAACACAGCAGACGGTCAGATGTGGGGTCATGGCTAGTACTTGCGGGAAAGACTAAATTTTCTACCTAATTTTCTAGAAATTATAACGACCATGAATCTGTCGGGGGTTACCTTCAAGCTAGGGCTCCATCCCCTTGTTTAACCGAGATACTTTACTCATACTCAGTTATATCCCCTTTTCTTACCTACAATTCCAATTCCAATTCCATTTGGAACCTACAATTCCAAAAGAAACCTATCGTATTTCGCAGCTAATGCGCATGCGCAAGCCCCCTTCTTAGCCTATTAAACATGAGCAAAATCTAAGAAGATTAGCTAATATAGTAGACGGTTAGATATGGGTTCACACATGGCTAGTGCATGCCTGCATGAAAACGAGTATTTTATTAAAACTGTAAATGTAAGGTCGCTAAGTAAAGAAAGCATGTCCAGCATGAATCTTCAACATGAGGGCTTCATCCCTTTGTTTAACTGAGATCCCGTGATAAAAAAAAACTTATCACATCAGCTTATAGAGTAATATGCCCTCTCACTTAAATTATACATGTAAATTCAGTTAAGACACCTCGCCAAATAATACGTGTATAAAGTAGTAAAAGCATCATGGCGACCATGAATCTGTCGTGTGTACCATTTAAGCTAAAGCTTCATCATATAGGATTTCTGGACTAATCTTCAAGCTAGGGCTTCCTCCCCTTATTTAACGGAGACCTTGTGATTGAAAATTATTATACTAGCCTACAGTCGTATATCCCCCTCTCTGTTTTAAAAGTATTATTCCAACATAATACGATGCCATTTGGCAGTTATTGGCCATGTGCAAACCTAGAGCTTAGTCTTGTAAACGAATTCAGAATTTCAGACGATGCGCTAGCACAGGAGACGGCCAGATATAGATGAGCTTATGCCTAGTGCATGCCTTAAGGGCAGGTATTTCTTAATTATATTTGTAAGTTCAATAATGAGGTCATCTTCAGCAGTCCTTTAATCTGTCAGCGGTCCTTTTCAAGCTAAAGATTCTTTCCCCATCTGGGGTAACAGGAATAAAATTTAATTCAGCCAATAGGTGGCGATGTGTATCCTATGTGATATATGCAAGTGTAAATACATGTCCAACTTTTATCATATTTTATTAATTTTAAGAACGTATACTGAGCGTAACCCCGATCAGTAATTTCATATAAAACATGTCTAATCAAAGTAATTTGATATGAAATATGTTTATTCAAAGTAATTTAATGTGAAACATGTTTATTCGAATCTTTCACTGGTCATACGGATTTCGCATATAACACGGAGAGAGAGAGAGAGAGAGAGAGAGAGAGAGGGGGGGAGAGAACGGTGTCCACGCATGGATAGTATATGAGCGAGCAAGAGAAAGAGAGGGAGAGAGAGCGAAAGTGAAAGAGCTATACTTTGGACAAAATAGTATTTCTTATGACATACACTGTGTATGCACGCGCATAGATATGAGCCTCTGTAGGCTATCCTGCCACAACGCAGGGAATTTGGGAAAACTGAGACGAGGAACTTTAGAATCGATAAATGTATACATGTACAACAACACTAAATTCTTGCGATAAATCTTGTTTATTCAGAGCTTGATAGAAATTGACACAAATCTAGATATATACTCGGTCTCTAAACTAATTCTTCTCTAATGGAACTGTATTTTAATGTTGGCCTATCTGCTTTTGCCATATACGTATATGAAAATCACGTGTAGAGAATAATTCTTTCTACACGATCTATCAACGAGGATTAATAACAATCTTCATATCACAATAAGAAATGGTTAGAAACAACTCGAATAAACTTCTAAACGTGTCTATAACTAACTGACCTATCTGTCTGAGCGAGATACTCGCACCATCCTTGTTGCTAAGTGAGTGAGTCAAGCTAACTCAGATTGCACGTGGTGTTGACGCGTGCACGCTAATTAGTCAACTTGGCGGCACTTCGTTAATAAGCAGCGTTTTAGAACGCCCCTATGGCAACAGTGATTGGCTAGCGGTGCCTCGCAATCACTCCAACCAGTTAGATCCATCCCAAACGAGGCTTCAAAAAGAAACGTAAGTCGAAACCCGTTAACCATCATGAAATGTACACATGAGAGGCGCCTGTGGCATCTCTTAGGAATGCGTGAAACTATGGTAGTAGTTGGAGGGGTCTATCTGTCTATATAGAGCCTAGATATTTCCGAAATCGTAAGACTGTAGTGGATGGGTCGATATATCTGTTCAGGGTCTATGTAGGGTTTACATCGTTCAGTAACGCCCGGAGCGGTAGCGGTTTTGTTGTTTGTGGTAAGAGTTGTAGCGTGGGCGTGGAGCGTAGTATTTTCTTCTGGGGCGGTAACTCTTTCTCCTTCCGTTGTATCTCTTGGGCGGGTACACAGGGTAATCACTGTGGTAGCGGCCGGTGTCGTACGATCCGCGGTACGAGTCGACGTTGTCGTATCTGCGAGGCTGGGCGACGTAACGGGAGGAGCGATAGGGTCGGTATGATCTACGGTGGTAGTCACCTCCTGCGTAGGCCCCAATGACGAGCTGGAGAAAAACATGGAGTATATAGCAGGAAGTTTTTTCAATGCGTGATTAATAATGGTAATTAGTACATGTATGATTTATAAAAAATTTATATTAAACGAATATTAATCGATATAATTAGTAAATAGATTAATAATCAATATAATCATTAAATGAATAAGTAAAAATATAATTATTAATAAATAATTAATTCGATTCAATTAATTCAAGTTATATAATGAAATGCACTATTGTAGCACCTACTATAATTATTGATGAGTAAAAACAAATGTCTGTTCGGAGATATATGTCTCGGTGTTAGATTAGATTATGATTACATGTTGGTTTTCGATGCCGGCTAATAAATGGCGTCATGTAATAAGACAATCTTACCACAAGCAAGGCGAAACATAGCAGAACCCTCATCTTACTGGCTTAGAGGCTGGCAATAGCGACCTGCAAAATAACGAAGTAAACTATCAGCGTACGATTCGTTTGCGCCCAACTGGCTCTTCATTGCACTTCGTAATATGACCTTATAATAAATGTATAACTATTCCATGGCCGTGACCTGCACAAATTCCTAAGAGGCGGGGCATGATTACGTGACCTAACTGGGTAATTATCATAGCATGGCAGTCTCTTATAGAATCATTTCAGGAAATGAACTATGTAGACCACGTAATAAACCTAACCTATCTGATCCCATCCTGCCCACACGCACAGTAAGTATATGATAGGACTGAATGGTTACGCAATGTCGAATTTTCACATCATCGAAAGTGATAATGACCGCTGTTCTTGTTCACAAGCTCAACATCAAAGCAAAATGAATACGATGGTAAACGCGTCAATGGGGAAAATTCCCCTCTAGCGTCGCATCCCTCATCAGCATTCACACGCGGATTTTTCCTACATTCAAACTGATCACTGAGCCTTGCGCAGAACTGCGATTTTTGGTTGATCGTCGCTGCAACCTGCAACCGCAAGCGATCGGTCGATGTGTCACCGCGTGTGCGCTCGATTTCGAAGCAATTCTATAGCAATTTGGGAGCGATTGAGAGGACGAGTCGCTCAAAATCAAAACAGATTGGTTTCTTGCAACTCGTCGCAAGCGACCAGAATCACTACGGGTTGCAGTTGCACGTTCCCGCAGACGTACCGATTTCACAGCAATTTTACAGCGATTCTATAATCGCTGTCGAGTTGCATGAAAAAGTCGCAGGTCTGCGCTAGGCTACGAGACGCACTGGCCGCGTGCATCAAACAAGCAAGAGCCAGTTTAGATGAAGCGTGAACCTCGGCACGCATGGAGCAAATTGCGGGAAATACAATAATTATTTGCATCTGGCGTTAAGGCCGTCAAGGTTATCATCGCGATGTATAAATATACTGTTTGATGTGATTTGCAAGACAATTCCGAGTGCCTTCAAGTGTTAAAGATGACTAAAATCAATGATTAATTTACAAAGCAGACTTATTATAATATCAGAATATATAATCAGCAGATCAATATATATATTCATGTCTACTAGAGTTTTCCATCTTAAGCAATTATCCTAACCTACGTTTTTCATTCGATTTCAATGGCTAATTTATAGTTATTACAAAAATATATAACGGTATGTTCAGGAATTAGTTCAATATTATCAAGAGCTAATAATACCTATAATAGGTATTATTAAGTCTTGATATTATATATATATATATATATATATATATACATTATACCTATATAAAGTAAATATGTATATAAAAGCACTGAATACTGTACTCACTCAACTTGGTGACAGAAATATGCGGCTGCTTCTACTATCTTGCTTAAGCTCTGTCTTCGCTGCGTGTGTCTCTCTCCGCGCCGGCTTCGTCTTTTATAGTTAGTCGCAAGTCCGGTTGCCGGTGCTGCGTTGGCGGCGCGTCACGATCCGCCCGGGCACGAATAAAGAAGTTTGTCATTCATTATACTTCCCACGTGCGACGCCGGGGCCCGAACCACGGTACGTAGCGCGTTGTCACTGCCGGCGGGGTTAGCACGCTGGGGCTGCGAGATCACGAGCGCGAGAGCGACTCGCCAAGGAGCATCTTAAAACTGCCTGTTATGGCCCTGTCACACCTTGACGACTTACCAACGAAAGCCAGCGTATACCGACGTATGAAAAATTTGGTGAATACGCTGGCGTACGTCGAATAAGTTATGGGTAAGCTTTGTATAAGCTTTGTATAAGTTAAAGCCGCACAATGCTCATCCAAATGCTAATTTCTCCAGTACTCGACTAGCAAATACTTCGTGTCATGCATAATCACATTACCTTATGACAAAATAAACTCTAGTTGCTCCCATTTCACTGCGCGTTAGCTTAAAACCCACAAGAAAGAGAAAACTGATACACGCACGTGCACGCGGGTATACGCATGTACACGCAGATACACGCAGATACACGCACGTACACGTACACGCAGATACACGCACGTACACGCGGGTACACGGAGATACACGCACGTACACGCGGGTACACACACGTACACGCAGGTACATGCACATGTATGCGTGCACGTGCGTGTACCAACGTGTACGTGCGTGTGCCCGCGTGTACGTGCGTGTACCCGCGTGCACGTTCGTGCACGTGCGTGTACCCGCGTGTACGTGCGTGTACTTGCGTGTATCTGCGTGTTCGTCGTGCTTGTACCTGCGTGTACGTGCGTGTACCCGCGTGTACGTGCGTGTACTTGCGTGTATCTGCGTGTTCGTCGTGCT